ACCTACCACCTCATCTCCCGCCGGGCCAGCCTGCTCACGCTGAGGGCCAGCTTCGACCTGGGGGATCGCTGCAACAAGTGGGGCGAGCTGCTGAGCCACCTACTGGACAATGTCCACTGCAGAGACCTCAGCCACCTCGATCTTAACTGGACTTTTACTCTTTTAGAGCCGCTCGACCTCAGGGTCCACTCCAGCCCCAGTTCCCACCAGGATAACATTACCAAAATGGACAAGGTAATTTGTTTCTACTGGTTTTATTTTCTAAGAACTGCCACCTTACACATTAGTTCAGGTAGAAAGAAATAAGTTTTCTTTATATCAAGCTAGAAAGCAAACAGTATATCAGGTATGAGTAGTCATTTTTTCTTTATTTTGTGCTTTTTTGTGCTGTAGAATAAAAGAGAACAAGAGAAAAAGAATCAGGCATATTGTTGCTCTCTGGAGGTCTGAGCACAAACCCACGATTATATGATGTACAGGAGAGCATGAAGTCCTTATTTTTAGCAATCAAATTTTAACAGAGGCCATCCTGAAACAGGAAACAAGTTTAACTCTGCATAAGTCAAACCTTTTCACGTGGCTCTAAATGGGTCCCCAAACAGCTTTGCCTATTTTGCGGTTTCTACTGAAAGAAGAAACCTACGTCAAACAGTGTTGTTTGATGTAGAAAGTTAGTGATATTCAGCGATTTCAGGCCTCAGTGGATGAAATAACTTCAACAAGGATCAACTTCAAGGCGACTACTAATTAGAGCACAGGAATCTGCTGATTGATATGTGATAAGGTAGTTCCTGTGTCGACGCCCATTTACCCAGTATTCATTTTAGTCAATTTTTCCCCAAGCGAGGCCATTATCTTTGTGCCTTTTTAAAGTTTGTTCAGTTTTTATCATTAAAATATGGAAAACATCCTAACTCGGCAAAATAAATACAAAACCATAAAGATGGAAAAAAGGAGACAAATTACATTTTAAAAAATAAATGAAAAAACCTAAATGTGATGCAATAAGGAGCCAGTCCAGTAAGTGATGCAGAGGGTGCTTCAGTTAGTGTTTATTGTCTTTTT